CAACTCCCAGAATTCCTCAGCCAGGCACGCTGGATGAGGAATTCTGGGAGTTGAAGTCCACTCCTCTTAAAGTCTATATCAGGGGTCTTCCAACTTGGCCTTTTGATGACTTGTGGACCTCAACGGGTGGAAACTCATCCAGGAGAGAAGCAATCTAGAACTAAGGAGAAACTTCCTGACAGTTAGAACAATTAACCAGTGGAACCACCTGCCTCCAGAAGCGGTGAATGCTCCAACACTGGAAGTTTTTAAGAAGAGACTGGACAGCCATTGGTCCAAAATGGTATAGGGTTTCCTGCCCGAGCAGGGGGTTGGACTAGATGACCTTCAAGGTCCCTTCCAACTTTACTATTATTATTATTATTATTATTATTATTATTATTATTATTATTATTATTATTATTATTATTATTATTATTATTATTATTAATTCCTCAGCCAGGCACGCTGGCTGAGGAATTCTGGGAATTGAAGTCCACTCCTCTTAAAGTCCATATCAGGGATCTTCCAACTTGGTCCTTTGATGACTGGTGGACTTCAACTCCCAGAATTCCTCAGCCAGGCACGCGTGCCTGGCTGAGGAATCCTGGGAGTTGAAGTCCACCAGTCATCAAAGGGCCAAGTTGGAAGACCCCTGGACTAGATGGACATCCCTAGCCTTCCTGTCCTGGGGGACCTTCTCCCCAGGGATTCAGCCACAGGGCTTTGGACTCCTGCAGGTGAAGGATCTGGAGAGCCAGCTGGCGGGACGGCCACTGCCACTGGAGCTGGCCAGGCTGCAGGCAACGTTGGCCACAGCAGAGGAAGGAAAGGCGCACCTGGAGGAGCGCCTTCTCCGGGCAGAGGAGAAATGCGCCAGCCTGGAGCGAAAAGGTCAGAGGTTTGCTGGTCTGGCGTGGAGTCCAAGGAATTTTGGGGAAAGGAGACGGGAAAGAGGAGAACACAAAGTCCCCTTGCTGGACCACAGGCTGGCCAGTGGCACTTCAGCCTGGCCTGTTGTGGGAACACCACTGCAGGCCAGCTCAGAGTTTGGGTAACCCTCTCGATTGGTTCGAGACTTGAGGGGGTCCTGGGTGCCCTCTGAGTTGGGGGTTTCTTTGTAGACATTTCGTGACCCAACTAGGTAACCTCATCAGTGCAATGCTTGGGAAATGAAATGTCAGAGAGAAAACCACCAAGCTCAGAGAGCATCAAGGAGGCCAAAGTCATTTTCCTCCTCCCTCCCTCCTCCTTTCCACATACCCCCCCCCCCATCCTTCTGGCACTGATGATGTTACCTAGTTGGGTCATGAAATGTCTGCAAGAAAACAACCCAGAGACACCAAAGACCCCATAGCCCTCCTCCTCCTCTTCTTCCTCCTTCCGTTCCTCCTTCCTCTCCTCCTCTTCTTCCCCTCCTCCTCTCTGCAAACCCTACTCCCTTCTAGCCCTGATGCTATTACCTAGTTTGGTCGTGAAACGTCTGCAAGAAAGCCACTAAGCTCAGAGGGGATGGCTTCTTCTTCTTCTTCTTCTTCTTCTTCTTCTTCTTCTTCTTCTTCTTCTTCTTCTTCTTTTCTTCTTCTTCTTCTTCTTCTTCTTCTTCTTCTTCTTCTTCTTCTTCTTCTTCTCTTCTCTTCTCTTCTCTTCTCTCCTTCTCCTTCTCCTTCTCCTTCTCCTTCTTCTTTTCTTCTTCTCCTTCTCCTTCTCCTTCTCCTTCTCCTTCTCCTTCTCCTCCTCCTCCTCCTCCTCCTCCCCCCCCCTGTAAAGTAATGAAACCTCTGCAAGAAATCCACCAAGCTCAGAGAGCACCAATCAAAAAACATTCTCCTAAAAATATTGGTATCCAGAGACTTGGTAAGGGAGGACGGGGGGACCCCAATAAATTGCTGCCAACGAAGCAAGACCCCCCCCCCACACACTCTGGTCGGGTCCTAACCCCACAGAAAGCCACATGCCCGAGGTCTGGCCTCCTAACCTCTTTTCTCTTGCAGTGAAAGCTCTGGAGGACGGGGCTCAGCCCCCCAACGCCCCAGAGGAGAGCCCGGTGGTCCCGGTTCCCCCTCCACCCCCTCTGCCCCCTCCCACCTTTCCTGCAAAGGCGGAGTAAGTCTCTGACCCCCCCAACCCTCAAAAGTGGGGCTGGCAGCTTCTCGTCCTTTTGTTCAGCCACGTTGGCCGGGAATACAGAAGGGCTGTTTTCCTCCCATCTGGAAGGCAACCACCTTGGCAAAGTTCTACAGGTGGTCCTCGAATTACAACCATTTTGTTTAGCAACCGTTCACAGTTACGATGGGCATCGAAACAGACGGCTAAAATTCGTTTTCCAGCCTTCCGACTGTTGCAACATTTTCCCCATTGTCATTTAGTCAAAATTCAGATATTTGGCAACCGACTCCTACTTACGACGGTCGCAGCGTCCCCCAGGGGGGGTCACGTGATCGATCCCCTTTGGCGGTCTTCTGACAAGCGGAGTCAATGGGGGGGGAAGCCGGATCCACTTAACGACCGGGTTACTAACTTAACAACTGCAGCGGGTTCATTTAACAACTCTGGTGAGCAAGGTCGTAAAACGGGGCAAAATGTCTCGCTTGACAAATGTCTCACTTAGCGACGGAAATGTGGGGCTCCCTTGTAGGCCAAGGACCACGCACTGTTGCTGGCATCCCAGAAGAGTTGAATACGACAAGATCAGGGCCTTTAGAGGTTTGGGGGGGGGGAAGTGATGCTGGTGTGTGTGTGTGTGTGTGTGTGTGCACCCGTTCCGATGGGAAGCCCCCCACCCTGGGAGACCCCAAAGATCAAGGGAAGGCAAGACGGGGGTCTCTTCTCTGAAACAGCCCATCTCCCCTCCCTCCAATCAAAAAGACCCCCCCCCCAAATGAAGGGGGGTGTTCTGGACCAATCAGTTAGATGGGTCTGTATGTTAGAATGTTTGGCATTTATTGGGTTAAGCGCTGTCTCCTTAAGAGATGGCTTATCGGTAATGTAGTTTAGCTATTCAGTTATCTTAAAAG